TGAACGCGGCCAGATAGAGTGGGTGTCGAGGCTTGAGGACTGATTTGGAGATTCCTGAAGATGTCGGCACCATGTAACGAGCAGATGCTGCACGCAAAACCGATGTATGACGAACGGAGTCATGAGACCTAAGTGCTGGGCCTACAAGGAGAGAGTTATAAATGGGGTGGGGAGAGGGGGAAGAAAAAGTATGTGAAGGAAAAAGAAGGGAGGAGTCAGCAGTAGCCCCTTTCCGCTTACCCGCCCTGCTGTATGCAGCAATTAAGGCGACCCGGGTGATGGCACCACGCGACGGCCGATGTGGCATGAGTTTATTTGTGTATGTGCAGATCATGGAGACAATGCATGTGGCAGAGAATGTAAACCTTAATCGCCAGTCAAAAAAAGAAGGAGAATACGAAGTATCCATATTGAAGCGTGAGAACTCACCAGGACCGGTCAGTATGTGTCCATCCCTCTTTGAAGAAGGTGGAGAACCCCTGGTTACCTATATAACGAAACTTGTTGCTAAATAGAGAAAGAGATTGTCTGCAGAATGGAGCACGACAGTCATATTCTACTCATTAATTTAGGATCCCTTTGAGTTTGTATCCCATGATTATATCAATACCAACCTCGAATAATAGGGGTGATATGGTGCCGTTTTTCCAAACCCAACTAGTTTTTGGAATACTGGAAACTTCGATTGTTAACTCATACACGATCACGAAGGCACGAAGCACATTGGCGAATTTATACTATGTTCCTCTGTGTCCAAGTGTATTTATGATTTGATAGCTTCGTTGAATTCAGAAATACTGATGGTTGGTCAGAAATGTACGTGGCACTGCTCAAGCATCTGACGTAACGTAAATGAATGAACGTAAATGAAGGTACCTTCCCCCATATCTTCTGAATTACCGCGACGTTTGTTTTCTTGGCATCACCAGCTTTTAAAGCTCCTCACCGCTATCCTCGTTCTCCTCTTTTTACTATCTTTAAATTTTTAGAACTAGACTTATCACAAATTGCATCAAGCCACGGTTTACTTATCCTCCTTACAATGAGCTGCCGTTTTTACGGCAACGAATGTATCATACAAGGTCATTAGGTAGGATCGTCGGGTCTACACTTCGAGGTGGGTGACGTACTCGTGGTTGGCTTGTTTTTGGTAGAACTTCACCATTGATCACATCCATCTTGACCGTGAAATCCATATTGGAGTATTACAGGTGATTGAATGTATCATCTTGCGTCGTCATCAATGAGGTCTCCAGAAACGTGTTTCGACCACTGGGCGTCTAGTAGCTCACGTTCAATAAAACCTATTGCTGAATGTTGCTTGAATCTTACATCACTCTCCATTTCAGCTTCCCGAGTACAGTTTTATTAGTAGAGCCCTGATTTCCATTCACTGGTTATGCAGCTGCCTATCGTGATATGAGTCAAGCAAGATCGAGGGTTAATGTGACCGCTACTTGTAAGTTATATTTATTTACTCGAGTAATGTTTTTGCAGTAGGCACCAGAAACAATAAACCACCCCAGGCACCCTCGGTTACAAAAATCAGCAGTCGAGCACATACCGATAGAAGAGCCTCCGAAGTGAAAAACAAAACTCCTGGGAAACTCAGTATGTCGGCAGTTGTCGGATCGAGACAGCTAGAGTCTATCCAGTCTTTACTCCAACGAAGTGCTAATGATGGTAAATCGCTTCCTTGCTTTCCACATATTCTTGTAGTTCCTGGTTCTCATCGAGCCACTTTGTCGAAGCAAAGTACACCACCCAAAGTTCGTTAGATTCGCCTTTTTCATACTTAGTTTTGCTTTGTAGTTAAAAGCCAGAATACCGTTGGGTGACGATGATCTCATCGAATCTGTCATGCACCAAGTGGCCGAATTTAATCAAGACAAACTGCCAGAAGCCTCCTTGGTCAAAGTGCTCGCCGATGTGTATCTTGATGCAAAATCCAAATTAGGAAAGACGTCCGCGAAATGCAGTGACCTCTCTTCTTCCACGACCGTAGAGTGTGTTTTGCCATGTTCTCTACCTAATAGTGAGGTAAAACCCATTTGACATTTAATTCTTCCTAGACCTCGGAGGTGGTTGAGAGTAAATCTCATTCTACTTTGGCTGCTCCAGCCGCTCAACCGGTCCCAATGTCAGTGTCGGAGAAAAAGCGCTTGAAATGGGAGAGCGAAAGAGGTTAGTGTCCCATGGTATTTGGGCCAGATTGTTGAACAGGCCAATTCGGGTGCAGTCTCCAAGATACTGTCACTGTTTCAATGTTCTATTGAAGTACTCATGCCATGGACATTTTAGCACCACAGTCGACTGGTGAACGTAGTCCAATAGGGTATGCTGTTTTCACTATACGCTTCTTCCCTAGAGGATGAGTCAGCTGTTAGGGGGGTCTGGTTTCTTTGTTCTCCTGAGCTGACTTTTTTTAAATTCTGTGCCATGGATGCTGTCTAGGATACAGTAGTTGTTTGTTATTTTGGGGATTGACTGTTTTTCGGAAGTAGCTTTCATTCATTTTGTGCGTACTTTATCGTGTAGCCTGCGGCTCAAATTGTGGTGCGGAACTTTAGTTTGCCGATGCGGTACAATCCCGAAACCTGAGGATGAACACGATAATAACCGTTAGCCTGCATGACATTTGTCACTACAGCTTATCCCATGGTCGTCTTCCCAAGCGAGCTCATGTTCATCTGTGATCATATCCTTGAAGAGTACCAGTAATTTCGAAAGTGTCAGGTTCGCAGTTTGACGTTAAGGTCGTTATTTCCTCTCGAGTCAAAGTTTTGAAGTGATCTCCCACTCTCACTTGTTTCTAGCGGAAATGGCCGCTTTGGCCGCTCAAACGTCATGGGGCACTGAATCTCTGGGCAACTCCACAATAAGGAACCATCGTTCATCTCAGTCTTTTGTTGACGCTTGTCCCGATCCCCAACGCACCACAGCCACTCGGAACGATCAGCTGGCTGGCAAGGCGTCTTTAACCTACACAAGTGCTACATCACTTCCAGCTCTCACTCCGATGGCTTTTGCGGTGAACCAAGATGTGGATCTATTGAAGCGAGTGCGGCTCACATCATTCACACATGTTTCTGTTGTATTCTTGTTCTCTTCTGTGTGCCTTGGAGACCAGAGGCTATGTTTTTTCTTCACTAATTTAGTCCCTTTAAGCGGCTCCCCTGATATCCTTTTTGCTTTTTGCTATTGACTTACTTGTGGTTTTCTTGTGGCCACACTGTCGACGCGCTCAGTACCGGGCATGAACTCCGGTAAAGTGGGTTGAGGTTGCATATGAGAAAGTAATTGCCATGCAGTGCACGACTATGCGTTCACGCCGGCTGAATTTGTGGTGACTTATTTACTCGTAAGACGCACTGATGCTGTCGATGATGATGTTGATGATGAAGACGCATTGAGTAGTATGAATTCATTCCAATTGCGAGATTGTTGCTCGTGATGACTGCTTACTTTCTGTGCATAAAATGAAGGTCATTTATTTTCCTATTCTCAAATTTTCTTAAACAAACTGCATGCAAGTACGATGTAACGGAGTTACAGGTTCTATGACTAGCGCAGTTATCATATTGTCTTTTACACCCTGTGACTTGCCTCTGAGTTCAGATGTTTTCCGTTGTGCCTCTTAGTTGACTTCATCGGCGCAATAATAATACTAATAGTAAAAGCAATATAAATAACCACTCAAGACTGGCGATTTTATCGCGTAGCCGCCCTCAAATCCAAAGGAAGCACGATAGCTGAGATACTACTAGGTTACTCAAGTATATAGAGGAATAGTCGAAAACCCGGTTTGGGTTCGAACCACGGTTCCTCCAGGATGTAGCTCGCGCTCTAACGACTAGGCTATCCCGAATGTCCTAGTGTAATCGGTAATGCAGTGTGCATAGGGTGTTCCAATGGTCCCGCGCGGCACTTAGCGTATGCCGCACGCGGCTTCGTTTATTGTGCACGTATATATCTTGTCCTGGAAACTGCGTTTGTTCTGCTACAGTGGTCTTCAACTGATTTCGCGCGTCATCGTTCTTTCAGTATACTGCGAAAGGTCATTCTTACTTCGAGTTTCTCTCTGTCGCGGAAGTAATGGGTAGAAAGCAAAATAATTAGTTACAACCTTTACTTTATTCGGGTATTACGCGTACAATCCAGAAAGAGAATATGCTTAATGATAGCATGGCCAAAAATCTCGTTTTGGAAGGTATCATTTGGTGGAAAACTTGTAAATCGGCACCAGAAAACGAAGAAGAGCATTTAAAGAGTAAATTGACTTTATTTTCATCTTCCCGTTTCGTTTCTTCGCCTTGTTCCGCAGCTGGCATAGAAACTAACTCGCGAGCGTACCTCCGCACCAGCAGAAATAATAGCACAAATGAATAGCCCTGATACTTAAACGCTATGAAGACTAGATCTGCTGCGACCTTGAGCCCCTTTATTGAAATCAAAGTCACTTTTGGGAGAACGAGTGGTCCGCTGAGACGTCGTTGATCTCCGGACATTTGTGGAAGCATCACTGTTTCCGCAAGCTGTTGTATCCGTCCATCGTGAATTAGCCCATGTGATGTGATGCATCAACAACCGCCCTGGATGCACATTCCTCCTTTGTCTTTCGCTGCGCTTCCGATCCTGATTTCCTTGGAATAATCTGCCGGTCTGAATCTATGGTGATGGCTGTGCTGCGAAGATAGTTCAATATGGTTATGTCGTGGTGGCAATGTCATGTTTACCAAAATACTTGTTGCGCTTGTTTGGAGCGTTATTTTAATCCTAAGTGTTTCGGGATGATCCATCGGGCAGACGATTTCTCATCGTTGTTGTTTCTGCATTTCATCACCACACAGTCTTCCAGCAGTATCTTTTCCCCCATCTATTCTAAACCTCTGCCGACGTTACCGCGAAATCTACCACGCATTCTGTTTGTTTGCTTGACTGGTCCATGTCTTCCTGATCTTCACTTTCCATGCAGGAAGAGCAACGACGCCAGTGGAAGAATGCTCTGGATGAACAAATAAGAGAACAGCGCGCACTGCGCGAGAAACGGCTCCTAGAAGAACGACAGGAGAACCTGGCTTTGCTAGATCAGCTGCAAGGTGGCGTGGACTCCGGAACACGTACGGTCCTCGGTTCGAACTCTCAGTCCTCGCCCAACGTGTAGGTCAATCTACCAGTGCACATCGCTGTACGGTTTTTTGTCGGCCCGGACGTCCAGATTTACCTGGCCACTGGTTGGTATTAGTCTCGACCAGATTCTGTCAGTCGCTAAACTCTTTTGAGACCGCCGAACTGGGCGGTCGTTGAGGAAAAGCACCCAAAGCATCAGCTTAGGGTGAAATGGCCAGGCTTGCCAGTCAGGGGCATTTGTTTCCCCCTTGGAGCCACTAAGTGGCGTTCATTTTTTGCAGCTATTCTTCTTCTGAATATAACTCATGCTAATTCCTCGATTCATCTGCTTACTCCGCCCATATACTTTTAATGTCTACTTTTTGTGCTCATTTGTACCCATTACTGGCCTTTCCCAAAAGACCGTCTCATCCGACACCTGCGTATTCGCATGTGTGAATGTATCCAGCTGACCTGCTTACCCATGCGCTTTCGTCTCCCGTTTTCTGAGCTTGTTTTCTCATTAGTTCCTTGTGATCGCACCGTCAATGAGGATCACGAGACTGTCGTCGGAAGGGACGACCGCAACCCACACTACTAAGCCTACATTCTGCTCACTGTTGTTTGGCGTGCGGGCGTTGACACTGCACTGTGCCAGTCGGTGACGAACCTGCGCACTTGTTGACGCTAGGAACGTGAATAATTGAACGTTGTTGTATGAATTTGTATAGCCTTATGTAACTAGTACCGTAGACTTTTCCTTTCAAAGTTCCGTATCAGGAACCTCAACATCACTTTTGTTGACTTTTTGGAGATCCGCTTACTTTCGAGATAGCTCAGTGTTTAGGGCGCCAGCTTACGGATCGGCAGTTCCCTGGTTCGACCCCCACCTCAGCATCCCGACTGCTCCTATCTAGGCTTGGGCAACCCGGAAGTATCCCAGCCCTCAAACATCCTTCCGTTGACATGGCAGCTAGGTACCGAAAAGATGCTACAGCTGAACGGTTGTTTACCTTCTCCAAGGACTGGCTAGATATTGCCTGTCCTCGGAGGGACATTGCCTGTAAAATTTACCTCGATTAGCCAACCAGAGGAGACTGAATGGGGTCAACCGAAGGGTCTGCAATCAGCTTGACTTAATTCGGTCAGTTGGGCGCGTACATGGTGGTAATGCATAAAATAAACAAGTACATTGGTTTCCCTTTCTGGAATTTTATTACCTTTGAAACGGTTCGTTTCTCTCCAAAATTGTATCAATTTGGAGCCAGGTCTCACGGTGTGCATCTCCCCTCTTTGCGAAGAGCTTATTAGGAAGACTACCGTACCCCTCCTTTCGCCGCGTCAGAGCTGACCCATTTACAGAAAATCATTTCAAACGCAACCTCACTACAATGCCACAGATCAATTCGTCATTACTAGTGACGTGGTTTCAGCTCAGGGAGGCAAACTCTATTTTAGTCGTGCGATCGTACTGGAGGAGGAATCGTTGAGTGGGTGGGAGAATGTATGTGAGATTTTCTTCTATCGACTTGGTTAAAAATGCCCACAGTCATCGCACGAAATCAGTGGTGCAGTCTCCATCTCCAATCTAGACCCGTTCACCAATGGACCGCTGTAGCAAAGTTAGCATTTTTGGTTTCTATTCGGTGATTATTGTGCGACAGAAAACTTGACGTTCATCTCAAAGTAAACAATACCATGCAGCTCCTGGAGGTCGTTGGTTTTATTTAAGGGATACGAATTCTGCGTGTATGTCGTGTAGTGAAGCACCAGTGTCAACACTGATGTTCTTTGATGATGACGTACATCAAGCAACCACTGGTGATGCTGTCGATGCAGTCATCTATCCTCATCCGTGCTCCCTGAGTGGAATGTTCGATTAAGGGAGTTCTCGCTTTCTTTGTAAACCAATGAGATAGGTCATAGATTTTATTCTCCTCAGTAAAGAGACAACGGACGCCATGAACCATGTTTCTATAATTTCTCAATGAGATATTCCGCATGAATCACGTTCAGGCGAACTACGATAACAGCTATTGCATTCTACCGTGAGTATTGGATAAACTGCATTACGTCCGATCTAACATAGATATTCAGTGGGAATTCGTCGCAATGCGACCTTTATGATTGTACTGTTGATCTATTTGTTGTCTGATTCCAGAATGGATTTCTCCTTAACAGCATTCAATTGTACTCAGTCTACACCCCAGCCTGCTATCAGATGGAAAAAGCGTTTGTCCACTACTGTTAGATAATTATCTCTTCGTGACGTCTTAGTTCGTTTTACTCATTTGATCAGTTTTCATTTTCATACTATGTACAAAGAAACAGTAGTGAGTACTTGAATACGCAGTCTACAGCTTGTTTTTCTTCTGATTGGGCTTCGCCATTTGCACTGACCAGATCGCCTGATATTCAGGTTCCAGATCACACTCACCACTAATCGGTGGCCGGCCCCTCTTGTGCGCATTACGTCTGCGCATTCAGGCAGTTTTTTATAGTCCCACTACGTGCGTCTGTTTTTGTTGTGGGCTGGCTGCTAGTGAATGGGCAGAATTGTTCAAGGATTAAGGAGATCAGATCTACTAGTGGTTGGGATTAGGCGTTTGAAGTTGAGCGTCAGGTGACCAAACCCTTGTGGAGGAGTCTAATTGTCGAAGGGCTTTCAGCAACCTTATACCTGGTAATGTGATGAAATATTGGTAGCTCGGGTGAGTTTGTTGGTTGTTGATCAGATGGCTGTTGATCTGTTCGCCGAGCTTGGCAATTGGCTTGCAAACGTTTCGTCACCATACGAGGAGACATCA